TCAAGCTCTCATTTAGTGAGTTCTAGTGAATGATTTAGTACAAATGACATTAGGGATTATTGTGGGAGAATGATCTCCTTTTATAGAAGAGAGTTTCTAGCTTTGTTCTGACATTGACATGTGTCGTGTTGTGATTGGCCTCTGATGTTGACACATGTCGTGCTGTGATTGGCTTCTGATGTCGACAAGTGTAGCACGGTAATTGGCCTCCTTGTTGGAGGGAAACTCTTCTGGGTCCTTGAAGCTATAATGTTGACGGTGCTCGGTAGTTTCGGGATTGGTCAAGTATGGTACAAACAAATTGTTTTGCAAATATCAACAAATGAAGAACAATGTGGAACTAGAAATCTCACAATTTCCATTTTGTATGTACACTTTGCTATCACATAAAGCTCCATTATCCTAAACAAAACAAAAAGGGACTTAAATCACTAAGATGAAGCATAAACAGACACTACAACAAAGTTACTACAAAATTGAAATTATATCACCAACACCCAAAGCAGTAATTAATTGAAATTTCAAGGAAGATAAAATATCAAAGCAACAAAATTATCAAATCAAATCCACAACCATAGGCAAAGCAAAAAATTGAAACATTCAAGTTCAAAATTTAATACAAAATTACAAAATTACATCAATTTGAGGCAAGTAAACAAAGAAAAAAAACGTAGAAATAATTGAATGTGTTGGTACCACACATATTGGGCCTCAGGCTTTGACACATTGGGCCTTAACATTTGGGCCTCATTACCAAGCCCATAATTATGTAAAAGGAGAAACCCCTTATTCTATAAAAGGGGACTTATCCCCCCTCACAAATCAGACTCTGTGAACCCAACAGAGGGCAATACCCTCACAAACAGAGAAACTCTCTCAATCTCTCTCTTTCTCTGGGGGACTCCCCCTCACACTTGTAATCCATACATACAGTTACAGAAAAATATAATCAACATCAGTGTGGATGTAGCCCAAACATTGGGGTGAACCACGATACATCTTTGTGTTCTTGGGCGTTTGCATGATTCACGGTCGAATTTACGTTGTTCCAAGACCTTTCGGTTTTGTGCATCAACATTTGGCGCCGTCTGTGGGAAACGACACGAAAAGCTATGTCGGTTCTCTTTCATTTTTTTTCATCTCACCACCGTGAATCTGCACAACCCAAGAACCTAATACCTTCATCTTTGGGCTTTTCCAGAAAACCTTCACTGACTCCCTCACACACTCACTCTTCCCAATCTATCTCTCACTCCTCACAACAAGAAAGCTCCATAATCTTCCTCTGCCATTCCCTTTCATTTTCCTCTGACCATTGACAAATCAATGGCCGCTTCTTCTTCTTTTTTCGTCATCGTCGTCCGCACGATCATCATTGTCCTTGACGGCAGCATGAAATACTAATGGCAGTAACAGTACGGGTGGAAGGTCCTAGAGGCAAACGACATCATTGGCGCAAGTCCCTCTTACTCACTCCACTAGACAAACGACGTCGTCTTTGCGAGCCAACAGCCATCGCACACGGCTCTCTTCTTCCAGTTCACGGCGCTCTGTCATACCCAGTTCGAGAACTCCTCACTCTAACCTCGAATATACCCATCAGATTTCTCCACCGCCCTCATTATTTTTCTCGGTGATTATCGCGACCGCGGCCCGGACACTAAAAAAGTCATCGACTTTCTCGTCTCCCTGCCCTCCAGGTACCCAAATCAGAAGCACGTCTTCCTCATCGGCAAATATTGGTATTGCTAGTAGTGAGAAGGGGTACGTGCTTGGCGTCCAGTATCTTAAAAAGATGAAAAAAGCCACTCAAACCTAGACAACTAAACGCAGCAGGTGCCTCAACCAAAGCTCATTGTCCTCTAACGCGTAAGCAGTGATGGTGTCTGGACCGCCAAGATGCACGAGAAGAAATGGTGCCCATAAAGCCATAATGGTATGGCTGTTTGGATATGGGGAGCTTTCTTGATCGTCTACTTGGAAGCTGGATATCATTCCAAGCGTGACAGTAGCAACCCTATCCACTAATAAGTATGATGTCCAAATGACGATTCTGATCCAAGTTTTAGCATTTTACTTTCTTCGGCTTCCGAACACTACTAGGACAGTTTGTAAACATAGGCTGCAGAGAACCAGCCGAAGCAACCAGCAATGCAGTAGTAAACGACTAGCTATCTTTGGTAGATTTTGAAGAGGTTGTCGCCGCCGGGGCTGTTGTCGGCGGCGAGGGTGTGCAAGAGATGGAGGGAGACGACGAGGAGGTTGTGGAAGGCGGCGGAGATGCTTAGGATTAGGGTTCCGACGAGGGCACAGGTCGGTTATGTTGGATCGGTATTGCAGAAATGCCCGGGCCTTGTGAACTTATCTCTTAGAATGGAAAGTGATGTGGATGCAACATTGCTGGCGTGGATTACATTTTCATGCCCAAATCTTGATTACTATTGGAGCGGGGAGATCAAGAAAAGCAAATGGGTGGTGTCAGAAAGGTTTTCACTTTGGCTCAAGTCTTCAAGCACTTGATCATTAAGATAAGAACTTTATCAAGACCGATGGCTTTTGTCGACCACCAAAGATGATGCCCACTCCATTGTCTAAAAAGATAAGTTTTTATTCTGTTTGCCATCTGCCATCACTCTATTATTAATTATATTATTATTTCGTCTGCCATCTACCATCTGCCAAAAGGAAAAAGAAAAAGAGCTTTACTTTTCACATCATTACGTTTTCTCAATATCATTTCCTATCTAATATTTTATTATTATTATTTTATGATATTTGTTAGCATGCTGCCTAGTGTCATGTGATTGCCCTTAACAGTGTCATATATGATACAAATCATTTACCACATGACTGAATAAATTATTTTTTTATAAAAGGCACACAATACAATATTTTGTCAATTTGATTTATTCATTATACGGTCATACTTATACTGTCACTTATTGTCAAGAATTATTGAGCAACTAGATCCACTGATCAACATTATTGCTGATTAAAAGAACGCAATATGCGAACCTGACAAGCGGACCCGAATCATGTTGAGAATCAACTCATACTAAGTGCATGTCGACATAAAGTAGATACTTGCAATGAGGAATACCACGAGCCGAGCCGCCTCGCAACGAGTATAGCCTCTAGCCGAGCAGCCTCGCAACGAGCATTGCCTCCAGCTGAGCAACCGCCTCGCCGCGAGCATAGCCTCTAGCTGAACAGCCTCGCAACGAGCATCGCCTCCAGCCGAGCAGTCTCGTAACGTGTGACACATCTAGCCAAGTATTGCTCTATGTTGAGCATTGCCTTGTGTTGAGTATTGGTTCAAGACATCTAGCCACTTTGGCCCGTACATGGATTGGATTTGAAGTCTCCAACCAAAAGACTATTTTGACTGAAGACTTGGGGGACTGCTGTTGGTACCACACATATTGGGCCTCAGGCTTTGACACATTGGGCCTCAACATTTGGGCCTCATTACCCAGCCCATAATTATGTAAAAGGAGAAGCCCTTTATTCTATAAAAGATGACTCATCCCCCCTCAGAAATCAGACTCTGTGAACCCAATAGAGGGCAATACCCTCACAAACAGAGAAACTCTCTTAATCTCTCTCTTTCTCTAGGGGACTCCCCCTCACACTTGTAATCCATACATACAATTACAGAGAAATACAATCAACATCAGAGTGGACGTAGCCCAAACATTGGGGTGAACTACGATACATCTTTGTGTTCTTGGGTGTTTGCATGATTCACGGTTGGATTTACGTTGTTTTAAGACATTTCGGTTTTGTGCATCAACAGAATGCATAAAACATAAGAATGCATGTAAACAAACACACTACTTAATTTATAAAACACCAAATACGGTTGATTCCCAAACACCACAGAAATCTAAAAAATCTTAGAAGATTTTGAGTCGTAAGAATCAACCAAGCATCATGATTGAACGCAGAGTAAAAAATCGTAGAAAAAAAATAAATCCATTGCCATTAAAGCTCTGTTGCGATAGTTCAAGTTGTTGAACGTGACGGCTCTCTTCGTGTGTCCAAATGGAATGGGTTGATTCAATTGGCTGATGGCTTTTAAAGGGTAAACACATCATTTGCAATTAGCCCATTGATTAAATAAATAAATAAAAACTTTGCATTGATATATGTGTAATTAGCAAACTTTTTATTGATTTATGGCCAAATTTCCTTTGTAGAATTTGGAATGTTTTTAGGGATAGGAAATCTCAATCCGATATTATTATAATTAAATTTCGATCCATTGGCAATCCTAAATGGTTCTCTTTATCAAAACTCATACGCGAGAGATTTTTCAATGGGTTAGAAACACAGTTTGATATATCAAATATAATAATGTAATTAACTGAAAACTAGTAGAAGAGAATTCTAACTAATTATATTAGGAAACTTTAACGAAAAACTTCCGGTACTGTTCACTTTAACGAAAAACCACATTTTTATACTAAAATGTCAATCCTAGTACTATTCACTTTACCTTTTATTTTGTCCTTATCGTTAAAACTCAAAGTTTTCAAGTCATTTTCATTAGTTTTCCTATTATATTATTACACTTGATGTAACGAGCTTGTTATCGGCACACTGAAAGATTTCTCATTTTATGTATGCATATAACGAAAATGGATCATCGTCGGATCCTCTTTGTGGGGATCCGGGGGATCAATCAATTACGTCCGTTCATCGTATATTGTGCGGTCAAACATTATTTTAAATTTAAAATTTAAAATTGAATATAAATAGTATCTAACAAAAACTGATCATACGATATACGATGAACGGACGTGATTGATTGATTCCCAAATCCTCACAAAGAGGATCGGGAGAGGATCCTTTTCCGCATATAACAACCACCATGTCCACACAAAAACTTAAAGACAAGTCACTAAAACTTGCTTTGCCTAATCACCATTGGACCCCACTTCTCCATTTTTTAACCATACGAAAACACCAAAAACGACAGGCAAAACCACCAACTCCATTACTAACCTCCCTATTTCTTTCCCACTTCACTTCCTTTCCCTTCTCACAATTCTCCCATTTATTCCTCACAATCCCTCCAAACATGTCACAAAACACCGCCATCACTCCAACCTTGCCCTACGAAGAATGCCGCGGGGTTCTCCGCGTCTACAGCGACGGGTCCATCGTCCGCTCTCCCAAACCAAGCTTCGACGTCCCTGTCCACGACGACGGCTCCGTTGACTGGAAAGACGTCGTTTTCGACCCAACCAATCAACTCCAACTCCGCCTCTACAAGCCAGCTGCAACGACACACTCCCCCTCGTCGTTGTCCAAAAAGCTCCCCATCTTCTACTACATCCACGGCGGCGGCTTCTGCATCGGCTCTCGCGCTTGGCCCAATTGCCAGAACTACTGTTTTCAGCTCGCCTCCCAGCTCCAATGCGTCGTCGTTGCACCTGACTATCGCCTCGCGCCAGAACACCGCCTCCCGGCTGCCATGGACGACGGCTTCGCGGCTATGAAATGGCTCCAAGCCATAGCCGAGGCTGAGGATCCGGACACGTGGCTGACTGAGGTGGCGGATTTTGGGAACGTGTTTGTTTCGGGTGACTCGGCTGGCGGGAATATTGCTCATAACTTGGCGGTTCAGCTCGGGGCCGGTTCGGTTGAATTGGGGCCGGTTCGGGTGAGAGGGTATGTACTTTTGGCACCGTTTTTTGGTGGGACGGTTTTGGCTAGGTCAGAAGCTGAGGACCCCAAAGAAGCCTTTCTCAATTGGGAGCTCATTGACAGGTTTCAACTTTCAATCTTCCCCCCACTTTCTTTTTCTTCATTTCATTTCATGTTAATAGTGATTTTGTTTTTGGTTTTGGTTTACAACTGTGGAGACATAAGATTAGGTGTGCAAGAAATGAAAATGGGTGAATGAATAACAATATTTTTAGTATATTAGAGTAAGTAGTAATTAGATGTTCAGATTATGTTAGTTGATCACATAACGTTATATATGATTGTTGGTGTAATAAGTATATAATATTCTTTTGCTTTGTTGTTAACAAACGCAAATGTGGAAGCGGTAAAACAAACACAAGACTTCATGTGCATGTTGAAATGTTTACATTAGTTGTGTAAGAGCTTGTTTATGAGTGATTTTTGGGTTAAAAAAACACTTTAGATGTTTCATAGTTTCATGTATTCCTGTGGTAATTATATTAAATACATATCCATATGAATTATATGCAACTGTTAGATGATATAATTGTACTAATTACATGTAAATATTGTATCCAATATATTATTTGGTAATTAAATTAAAAATAAAATGAAAGAGGTTTGTGCATGAAAAAAATTAAGATTAAGCATGCATGCAGGTTTTGGAGGCTGTCAATACCAATTGGAGAGGACAGAGATCACCCACTTGTGAACCCATTTGGACCAAATAGCCAGAGCCTAGAAGAAGTGGCTTTTGATCCAATCCTAGTGGTTGTAGGTGGAAGTGATCTTCTCAAAGATCGAGCTAAAGATTATGCAAATAGGCTCAAAAATTGGGGAAACAAGGTTGAGTACGTGGAATTTGAAGGACAGCAGCATGGTTTCTTCACCATCCAACCCAGTTCCCAACCTGCAAAGGAATTGATGTTAATCATCAAACGATTCATTGCTCAAAATTCTACTTGCTGCTAAGACATGTATGCAGCTATGGGCGGCCATGGATCTAAGTCTCTAAGATTCTAAAACAACAACAACAACAACAAAAGCTCTTAATGTTGTCAAATATAGTAACAAATAATGTGAGAGTAAAATTGTATTTTTTCTCTTATTTATTCTTAACATGTAAAATTATCTCTTATCGTTAGGGACAGTTTGGGATTGTTGTGCTTTGTTTAAAAACTGCTTGTACTTTAAGAATAATCAGCTGCAAAATAAAGCAGTTGAGCATTTGGTAAACTGTATTTTTAAAAGTATTGTGAGTATGAAAACCAATGAAAAAAGCGTTTGGTAAATTTTAATGTAAAAATGATATAATTGTGTATAATGGCAAAAAGAGACATGAAAGTGCGGTGATGACAACGACAACGGTGGCAAAGGCAATAGTTGTGATGACGGTGGTGATGGTACCAATAAAGGGGTGTGGTGGTTGGGTTGTAGAGGTAACAATGGTGGTAGGAGCGGCAACAACGGTGATGGTGGTGGTTGTGGTTGTGGTTCGGTAGCAATGGTGGTGGTGGTGGTTGTTATTTTTATGGTGGTGGTCGTGGTGACAATGGCAACCACAATGGTAGTGACAATTGTGGTGGTAGTGGTGGCAGATATGGTTGTGGTGAGGTGGGGGTTGTTAAAGTTTTGAGACTCCATGTCCCACATCAGGGAACATATGGTTCACAATGGTTTTTATATATGTTTTGTCCTTTGTACTAGTAGTTAGGATTTGGACCGTTTGGAAAATGATTGAAGGCTTGGGTCTTATGTTTGTGTGGATTAGGCTTGTATAATATAGCCTAATATAATTATTATTAATTAATCAAGACAAGGGCATTGGAAGTTAAAATTAATCAGAGTTCATTAATTTTAATTTCGGATTAAGTTTTTAATTAACATATCCCGTTTTGATGAAGAGACACAGCTTTTAGAAAGAGTTGTGTACTTTCAAATACATTCAACAAGTATTTGAAAGGGTATGAAACAACCTATATATTTACTGTCTTAGTTTCCAATAGAATCATCTTTTCTTCCTCTTTCTCTTATGTACAAAATTCTTAGAAAGTAAACATACAAAGCAATTCGCTAGAATTCTACAATCCAGTGCGGGTTATAGAATTAGATAATTGTATCCTAGTCAAGCAGACGTCGTAGAACCACAAGCACAAGAGTGGGACATAAATACTGTTCGAATGACATAGCTTTTTGCGCTAGCCTCTATCTGTGATTAAATCAAGTTAGTATCATTTTAATTCTTGTAATTATTTTTGTTATTTCATTCTGTATTGCAAGTATTTTTCATTAATAAAGAACCAGTATTTCAAGTTCTGTTATTTTTATTTATTTCTGAATTGTTCTCCAACTATCTTCAAACAATAATGGAACAATTAGAAACTAAACCTCATTCTGAAAAGCTTGAGAAATTTAAGGGTGGAGACTTCAAAAGATGGCAGCCGAAAATGCTATTTTATTTGGCAACTCTGAATTTGGCTAATGTTATGCATGAGACCGTGCCTAGTGCAGAAGGAGACAATATTTATGCAGACACTTTGAAGGTTATAGATGCTTGGAATCATAATGATTTCCTCTGCATAAACTATATTCTCAATGCATTGGATGATTCGTTGTATGACGACTATGTTATATTCAAAACAGCCAAGGAACTTTGGGAATCATTTGAGAGAAAAAAATATAAAACAGAGGATGCTGGTTCAAAGAAATTTGTCGTGGGTAAATTTTTGGACTACAAAATGGTTGATTCCAAATTCGTTGTCTCTCAAAGTGAAGATCTCCAGAAAATCATCCAAGACATTCATGTTGAAGGGATGGTGATCAATGAATCTTTTCAGGTGGCATCTTTTATTGAGAAATTGCCACCCTCTTGGAAAGTGTTCAAGAATTATCTCAAGCACAAACGCAAGAAGATGACCCTTGAGGATCTCATCGTGAGGTTGAGAATTAAAGAAGATAACAGAAAGAATGAGAAGGTTCTGGTTTCAAGTATGAAAGCTAAGGCGAGTGTTGTTGAAGGAAGTTCATCAAAGCAAAGGCCGAAATTCCAAAAAATTAAGAAGAAGGAAAAGAACTTTGTCCCTGGTGTGAAAGGTAAGGACTTCAAGAACATTAAAGGAAGTTGATGGGTTTATGGGAAGCAAGGCCATATGGCTCAAGAGTGTCGCCATTGAAGGGATCAAAGTCTTGGAAATCAAGGTAACAACAACTGCACAAACCTGATTGAAAATGATGAGGATGTCCTAGTTGCGATGATTTCTGAAATCAATCTTGTATCTGACCACGCTAATTGGTGGATAGATACCGGTGCGACTCGCCATGTATGTGGAAAAATAGCAGTTGTTTATGGGAAATGCGTCTGCATCTGTTGTGGTTGGAATAAAGAAATGTATTCTGAAATTTACTTATGGAAATGAATTAACCCTCCTTGATATGTTGCATGTACCCGATATAAAGAAGAATCTTGTTTCTGGTCCTATCCTTAGTAATAAGGGATTCAAACTAGTTTTTAAGTCCAATAAGTTTGTACTAACTAAGGGGGGAATGTTTGTGGGAAATGGTTACCTTGCTGATGGATTATTCAAACTGAATGTACTTGCTAATGTTGTGAATGAAATAAATAATGCTTTTGCTTATTTGTTGATTCGCCTAATTTATGGCACTCTAGGTTAGGACATGTAATTTTTCGTTCTCTTTTTAGAATGCATTATTTAGGTTTGCTGTCCAAACTTAATTATTTAGATAATGTTAAATGTGAGACTTGTACAATATCGAAATTTGCAAGTCAAAGCTTTAAATCAGTGCATGAAAAATCCAATGATTTGTTAGATTTAATTCATAGTGACTTGTATGATTTTAGATCATATCCAACTCATGGTGGAAAGAACTATTATGTAACGTTTATAGATGATATCAGTAAGTATTGTTATGTTTATTTACTTCATAGTGTAGATGAGACCTTGGATATGTTTAACACATATAAGGCAGAAGTTAAGAATCAACTTAACAAAAAGATTAAAGTCTTAAGGTCTGATAGGGGAGGAGAATATAAGTCTCATGCCTTTGCTAAATTTTGTGCCACTCATGGCATAATTCATCAAACAACAACCCCCTATACACTGCAACAAATGGTGTTGCTGAACGAAAAAAAAAATATGACTTTTAAAGACATGATCAATTCCATGTTGAATAGCTCTGGGCTTCCAAACAATTTGTGGGTTTAAGCTCTACTTACTGCAAATAAAATTTTGAACGAATTACACCTAAAACGAGAAAGGAGTCACCATATGAATTATGGAAAGGAAGAACCCCAACATTTAAATTGCTTAAAGTGTGGGGTTGCTTGGCAAAAGTACAAGCCCATGGCCAAAGAGAACAAAATTAGGGCCTAAAACTATAGATTGTGTTTTATTGGTTTTGTATCTAATAGTTCAGCTTATAGATTCTTAGTTTTTTATTCCGAAGTAAGCGATATACATGTCAATACTATTATAAAATCTATAAATGTAATATTTTTTTAGGATGTATTCCCATACGAAATAGGCAAGTCTAATTTCTTGGAAAAGAGATTACATGATGATGTATCTGTGGTTAATGACGAACATAGAGAACATGGTGATGATTCATCCTCATCTAGAGTTCAAGAAGAAGAACTTGAACCTAGAAGGAGTAAAAGGACAAAAATTCGAAAGGACTTTGGGCTTGATTTTGTGACCATATTAACTGAGACAGAACCTCAATCATTTAAGGAGGCAATGTCCATTCCTAAAGCTCCATTTTAGAAGGATGCAATTAATAGTGAAGTGGATTTCATTATGCAAAATCATACATAGGAATTAGTCAATTTGCCTCATGGCAATAAGCCAATTGAGTACAAATGGATATTTAAGAAGAAATTAAAACCAAATGGTACAATTGACAAATATAAGGCTCGTTTGATGGCTAAAGGATACCGCCAAAAGCATGGTTTGGATTTCTTTGATACATACTCATATGTGACGAGAATTACTTCAATAAGACTATTGATTGCTATAGCTGCACTCCAGAACATGGAAATACATCAAATGGATTTAAAAACAGCATTCTTGAATGGAGACTTGGATGAGGAAATATATATGGAACAACCCGAGGGGTTTGTAGTTAAAGGTCAAGAACACGAAGTTTGTAAACTTGTGAAATCACTATATAGACTTACACAAGCTCCAAAGCAATGACATGAAAAATTTGACCATATTATGATCACACATGGTTTACGATAAATGAGTGTGATAAGTATGTATACACAAAAACTCAAAATAATGCTTTCATTATGTTGTGTTTATATGTAGATAATATGCTTATAATGGGAACTAACAAAGAGATAATAAATTGGACCAAGATGATATTGAAATCGAGTTTTGATATGAAAGATCTTGGTCTAGCTGATGTGATTCTTGGTATAAAAATCAAAGGAAACCAAGAATGATATATTCTTACACAATCCCATAATATAGAAGCTACACTTAGAAAATATGGCCATTTGGAAAGTAAAGAGCCGATTACTCCTTTTGATGCCAATAGCAAACTAAAGAAAAATAGTGGTGATGCTATATCTCAACGTGAATATTCACAAGTTATTGGAAGTCTTATGTACATTATGAACTATACAAGGTTGATGTAGCATACTCAGTGAGTAGACTAAGCAGATATACATGCAATTCAATGCATGATCATTGGGAAGCATTAATTCGAGTATTGAGATACTTAAAGCATACAATGAATTATGGATTGCATTATACGAGGTATCCTCTGGTGCTTGAAGGATTTACTGATGCGAATTGGATATTCGATAGTACCAATACGAAATCCATAAGTGAATATGTATTTACTTTAAGGGGAGCAGTAGTATCTTGGAAATCTTCCAAACAAACATGCATAGCTCGATCAACAATGGAATCAAAATTTATGACTCTAGATAAGGCTAGAGAAGAAGCCGAGTGGCTAAGAAATTTTTGGAAGATGTTCCCATTTGGCCTAAACCTGTAACAGTGATATGTATACACTGTGACAATTTAGTTGCAAATATCGAGCTAAAAATAGTGTATACAATGGGAAGTCTAGACAAATTAGACGAAGGCATAATACAATAAAGCAGTGGCTCTCTAGTGGTGTAATATCTATTGACTATGTTAAGCCAAAAGATAATATTGTCGATCCACTTACTAAAGGTTTGTCTAGAGAGAAAGTTAAACATGCATCAAGGGGAATGAGTTTAAAGCCAATAGAGTATAATGAAATTGCCAAACGGAAACCT